TAATACAAAATATATCATTCACTTGTGATTTACTTGTAACTACAATTTTTTGGACTTTGAGACTCCCAATTTTGTTTCTATTGAGTCATATTTCAAGAAATGAAAGCACATTGAATTTTTTGTGAATTTTTATGAAATTTTCTCACAATATTTTTGAAAAATATATTTCAATATCAAGTTTTATAGTCTCCGAATTTGATGAAACTTAGCAAAGTTATAAATTTGAAAGAAAGTAAAATTGAAGCACTGAAAATATAACAGGCATATGAAAAGGCTTGATTCTCTGGGGTTGGTAGACTTTTCTAGCCCATACAATTTGATACTACCTAATATATACATATATACATATACTTAGTATTTTAGTTGTTCACGAAAAATGTGAACGTATAACAATTTAAAAGAGCGGAAACATACAATTTTTTCTTAAACGGCTAAAGTAACCACTAAAATTGAAAAATATGTTACTCAGAAAGAAATACATATTAAGAAAAAAATTGTTAAACTAAAAACTAATTTGCAATAATTTTCTATTACTTGATTTTATCCAAGATTTATCTATAGTTTTTTCAATAAACCAAATGCTGTTATATGTTTTTACAATGTTTATATATTTCCATACAGTTTTGTTTTAATAATTTTTGCATATGCATGCATTGAAATTTATATTGAAGTGTTGTTTAAAAAGTACGATGACAGAAAAGAATATTGCAAACGATTATAACGAATATTAGGCACAAAACAATAATGTAGATCACATTCATTTTATAGTCATTTAAACGCATAAAAAACTCTTATCAAATAATGTACATTCATTGAAGATTTACTTCACTTTGGCACGAATCCACGAACTACTTTCCGATAAATACCGTACAAAGCTTGAAATAATTTTCGCGCAAGAATACAGATGACATTTCGTTAAGTGTTCATTATGTTTTATAGCTTTTGGGTGTCTTATTAAATTTATTTTATTATTGGCTATTTTTAAACTTACTGCAAAAATTTATTAGTAATAAAAATTTAACACAATTTTAGTCAAGGGCCAGAAATAAAGCATTGTAACTGTCGACCATACATGGGAAATTAATTATATAATTAATTTGAAAATGTGAACTATGATTAAAATTGAATATAACTAAGAATAATGTTGTATGAAATAATTTAGTTACTCTTTATTTATCATTTTATTTTTATTTTAATTTTTTTGAATAAATATATAATTCTATTTTATAGATATGATTCACATGAAAGTTGTTTCTTCATGGTTTGCGATTTTATCTGCTTTAAAAAAAAGTAATTTATATATATATATATATATATATATATATATAATTATGCATTTTATCAAATGAGGAAGAGTCATATTGCAACTCTAAACATAAGGAAAAGTTATTAAGTTTTTCTAAATGTAAAGGTTTTTGTAATTTTTACTTTTTCAAAAAATACTGCAAATAGAATTACCGTTTAGTTTATAAAATGAATTGTAATGTGCGTTATATTGGTGAAAGTTCAACTGATACATTTACAACAGAATTAATCAACATATTTGTAACTCAAGGTGAACATAATTTTTAATTATGTTATTTTTTTTTAATTTTGGCAAATTGGCTGATATATTCTGAATGAAAATTAACGTTAAAAATATATATATCTATTACCACATAAATAAAAAACAATAAAAAAGGAATGATCAGAAATTTGTTCTCATTAAGCTATGTTTATAAAAATGAGTAGGAATTTATATAATCAATAAAATATACGCTCTTAATATAACGTTTTAAAAAATAAACGAATCAATATACTTGTATACAATAAATTAGAATACCTGTTTTATATCTGACAAACGTCGGATGCACGCAAACCACATGAGTATTAGTAAAAAGCTAGAATTATATCCACAATGCGAAATATATTACAAATACAATTCGTTTTATAAATAAGGTCTACACATTTAAATTGCAAGGTTAATTTTTGTTCTAGAAAAAATATTTTAGCCGATTCTTTTTATACGCCAAATATTTATATTTGCGGTTGCCAATTCTATAAATTAACAACTAATACGTTCAAATACCTACTAAATATACGTACGTAATTATATACATATGTATATACCATATAACAATATGATGTGTCAAATATAACATCTTCAAAAAAAAAGATTATTGACAACACATAGAAACAAGTATAAAAATACACTTCAAGGATGATCTAAAATAAAAATTAAGTGGTTATGATTTGACAAAAACTCAAATTTTGAATTTATTGGTGTGGCTTTGAATTAATGAATAACACATGATTTGCATATTTCTGCCAAATGAATTTCGAATTTATTTTTGTTGGCAATATAAAAATAGGATGAATAATGCTGATGCGTTTAGTAGTATTCGATTTAGCTTACATTGTATGCTACATTATAATATTATTGCCAAAAAATATATTTTTCATTGTTTATATATCTACATGATTTTTAAAATTCACAGAAAATTTTTTTTATTAAATTGATTAATAAAATATTAGATTATATTTTTTCAATTTAAACATTCATAAGAATTTATATGGCTCATAGTGAATTTTCATTATTAATTTATTTTTTATTTAATTTATTGTAATGCAAACAAACGTGCGTTGTTCCCGTATAAGAATTTTTTTATCAATAAAGATATTTTAATTAACATTGTTCAGGTAAAAAGATGATTCCTTCATCCACTCATTCAGCTATAAATTTATAAGCTAATTTTGGCTACGAGTTTGAATTGAAATATTCTGAACTACCAAGAGAGTCGATATTTTTAGCAAATTTATCATTAATTAAATACTAATTATCGATGAATATTATTAAATGTCAGGCCATTAAAATAGCAGTACATATAGGTTTGAACTCGAAAAAGACATGAATATAATAATTATTGTCTTAAATTAGTATAGGAAAATATGATATGGAAATAAGAATCTGTGTACATTAAGTTTTAATATTTAATTTTTTTATTATTATTAATATATGTATGTATATATATTAGAATGGTCCTTAATATGGACATTTTTTAATTTCTTTGCTCCCAAGGGCTCAAATGCTTCCAAATTGATAAAAAAATTTTTTTTAAATTTTAGCTCTTAATATTAACGTTTAGATAGTGCCCAATTCAATCAAAGCTTTGTATGGATTTTTTTTATCAATTTGAAAACATTTGAGCCCCTGGGAGCTAGGAAATTTGGAAATGTCCATATTAAGGACCACCCTAATATATATACATGTAACGGATAATTTAATAATAATATTTATATATACGCCCTACGTGAATATATATCATGCAAATGCATAATCATATAAAAATAGAATCTAAATCCTTTTAATATATAACATTGTTAATCATTTCAACTGGTGTATAGATTTTCTGTTGACTTGAAAACAGTCTATTTAAGCCCAGATTATAATGGCTTTTATGGAGATTATAAATTCAAACAAAAAAATAATAAAATGTATGTATAAATAAAAATGTAAATTTTAAAATATATGAATAAGAATTACAGAGTGAAAATATACAAAAACAGTGAATATTAGGTATTATCTATGTTGTTTTCATGATTGCGTGAAATATTTAAAACAAAGATATACAAGTTTTTAAATGTTCGAAATAAATCAATTACTAATCATTAAATCAGTGACATGGCAAAGCCTAATATTCATTTAATTCCTCAATATGATCATTTTATAGTCTTGAACAAATATTCTGCAATGAAAAATGGCAAAAGGCTATCAAAATAAAAGAAAAGAATCTCCTGCTATCCTAAAGATTTACAAATTTAAGGTTATATAACGCTAATTGTAAGACTTTTTTTGTTGTAAAAAAATAATTTCATTATTACTTTTTATATATTGTTAATTAATAAGGAGTACCTATAGTACATGGTAGATTTTTAAAATTTATAGTAATTAAATGTATCATCAGACAATTATAAAATGACATAATACAAAACATATTGTAATTTAAATTGATGAAACAGAAAAAAGATTAGTATTCCACAAAAGAATATGTAGAGAACTACGATTAATTAAATTAAAATTGATTGTTAAAACCCTAAAATATCATTAATATTGAGTAGGGTTTTTGCACGTGGAATAATCAAATATAGAGTAAATTTAAAATATAAGTGTTTATTCAGTGTTTTACTATTTTATGAATTTGTTCAGAATAATATTTATGGAAATTTAGATTCAATGAATAAAATTTCGACTAAAATTATAGAAGTTATTTTAATATTGAATAAGCACTTAACTATATTAATTTAACTATATTAATTAGTGAATTTTTGCATGACCAAAAACCTTGTTTCCTATATTAATAATATTGGTAATAATTAATTTATTCTAATTCAATAGCTCTTTGAAATAGTTCTATATATTTTATCGTATGTCACTGCATACAACATATATTAAAAATTATATAGTATATAAAGATAAAAAAAACTTTTGATTTGAATTAAAATCGATTAATAAAACAATTGCAATATTATTAATATTCGATAAAAATTGCACAAAATGAACCAATATTTGAAAACGTTAAATTAAAAGTGCTTGTTCAAAATTTAAATGACTGTTCTGTAATTTTAGTCAAAATTATATTTTAGAAACCAATTATTTTAATATTTCAAAGTATGATGAGCACTGCATAATACATGAATTACTATAATTTTCTATAAATAAATTTTATTAACTAACTATGTACCTACAGTTCGCATGTTTGGTTTCAGTGTCTTTAAATGTCAGGTTTGCTTGAACCGTTGCTAATGGAACTCGAAACAATGATTCACCATTATTGTTAAGGAAATACGATGTTTTACGCTCGGATAAGAAATGTCATGAACATTTATAGAAAAATTATAATTGATTCTCAATGTATATATATAATACATACACACACAGATATATATATATATATATATATATATATATATATATATATATATACGAGTATATATATGATATTAAAAAGAAAAAAACTCACCTCGCACTTCTCTTTCAGACAAACCCTTGTTCGGCATCAAATCCTGAAAATAATAACATAATATAATAAATATGAAGTAAAAATAAGCAGTTATATATATATATATATATATATATATATATATATATTTCAAGGCAATATATCAATTTTTTATTCTCTTTTTTTCAATCAATCATGCACAACCCTAATATAGAGCAGTAGTGATATCAAATTTTACATAAAAATATAGATCTTAAATATGTTTCCAAGTATAAATAACTCTTTCCTAGCATTCTGCATTATATTGAACAATAAGTTAGCTCTAATAAATAAATTCCCAATTTAAGGGCCAATTAGATAATAATAAAATAAATAAATATGGATAGATCAACCGATGGGTTGCCATCTAAATATGCAAAATAAGTAAAAGACTTGAACCAATAGCTTATAGAACGCAAGTTTTGGATCACTGTTAAACAAATAACGTTTAGAGTATCTTTTTTATCATATACTGTAATAGTGTAAATAGTGGTAATAGATAATGTAATCATAAACATAATCAATAAACATAATTAATGACTAAAATTTTCACAAATAGCACTCAACAACTTAACTTCACTGATCTTGTCACTTGACTAAGAAATGACTAATTGATTGGGTTTCAAAAACATGTGTTCCAAAAAAAAAGTCTGTCCAAAGTTGGGAAACACATTGTATTTCTGTAGAAGATAAATATATAAATTATATAAGCATGTTATTGCTTTTCGAATTTTTAGGTTTTGTAAAATGACTCGATTTATCAAAACTAAATTATTTTCAATTTGATACTAAATTTATTGCCAGAACTGATATCTATATTCCAACAGAGCAGATCGTAAAACTCTATGCATTGAAGGCAGTACAAAATAGATAAATAATTTCATTTCTCTTCAAATACTAAAAACTAGTTCGTTCAAGATATACGATAAATAAAAAAACAAATCTTTAAGTTAATCACAACTATAACAAAATCAACTCAATACCATAGATAATACCAAATGTATTGTAAGTATAAATGCTCAATACCAAAGCTTTCAATGAAAATTTATTTGAAAAATAAATATTGAATTTCTAAAAAATTAAATATTACTATAACAAAGTGCAATTCTCAATAATTTAACATTGATGAATATTGAAGCAAAAGTCAACACACTGGATGACGTTTATATGCAACACCAGTACTCACAGGTCGTCATGTGGATGTCATCTAAAGACGACGCTCGTATAGGAAAAGAATTAAATTAGATTTTTTAACTATTTCATCGACACTAATTCGACTAATTCATAGTCGAATAGTACAAATAAATTATGTATTGTGAAACCATGCAATGATCAATTACAACCTGTTCCAATGTACAAAATTTGCAAGTACTTTCGTTTTTTATCGAAAACCAAAAAGGGCTTGTTGTTGTTAAACAAAAAATAGCGTTGTCCAAAATGAAAATTTTCAAAAAAATACAACCAACAATAAACCATATCTTGAAGCTAAAAACAATTAAAACAAATTTAACTAAACACGAACGCAATCATCATGCATTTTAAATCACACATGTGATGTTTAATTGACTCGTAAAGGCTATTCAGAATGTGACAATGAGAATGTCTAACAAAAATGAACATCAGAAATAATCTGTATGATGTCAGGAATTGGATAAAACTGATCACTCCAAATTTTTGGGTAACAACTTACCACAAAACTGAAGCGCTAAAGATATCTTCACAAAAAAGAAGCACTACTGCCAAAAAACAAAGACACAACTTGTAAAAGAATCTATATAGATAATATTTTACTCACAACTCTTTACTCATCAAAATTTCAAGAAAAAACGAGTATTTCTTTTTGGGGAGTATCCAAATGCTGCAAAAGAAATAGAGTTCTAAAATATCGTTTGAATGTATACGGTAATGAGTAATTATGTAAGTTGTGTAATTATTACTTTATGGTAATTGATATGATTTTGAATTATTTGAAAATTATTAATCAGAGGTGTAAAAGTTTACAAACTTTCCAAATATCTGTGCAACAAGATCTATAAAAAACTTATTTCAAACTTATAAGCTTAAAAGTACAATCATAAAGTTTGTGATGCATCACAGGTGTCTCTCCGAAATGGAACAAACAATGTCGATTAGACTTGAAAATTCCTTAAACTTAATAGAAACTATTTTAAAATTTTCCGCAAGACAAGAGCAAAAGTGTTTTACTGTTTTTTGTCATCTTTTCAAGTTTATCGGGATAATGGATATAATGTTCGATTCCTTTAACAGTTTTTAACTAAAACTTAAAATAGAAAATAACTTTTCATCAATTCTTGCTAACGTATATATATAGTAAAATATAATTTAAATGCTAACAAATGATTTTTATAAATTGAAACTATGTAGATATATTTCATTATATAAACTTATAAAAATGCTTTCTAAATAGATATAAACTATATGTGATGAATGCAGCAAGTAAGCTGTTCTAAAATAAATTTGTTTTTTGAACTGGGAGATTCATCTACAGTAAATTTACACTATTTACAAATATTCTACATATAATGATACAATTTACAATGACTAGACCTTTTGTAACTTTTCTTTATATTTTTATGATTCTTACTGAAGAAATATTTATTTTAAATTAAAATTATTAATACACGTTATAATATAAAAGATTTTACGTTTTAAACCAATTCGCAGCCTTGCTTACAATTTATTCTAATTACCTTATAATTTTCACTTGCTTGTTATTAACGTAGAATTCAGACAGTAAATTATAATCAAACATATCTCTAAAAATTGAAATGCAACTACAAAAAATTATTCCTCTTTTCAAGCATTTTTTCAATATTTAAACTTTGCTGCACAATATTTATAGCACACACGTGCGATATCAATCCTTGATTATGTTCTGTTTTTTTATGGAATAAAATAATTTGTTAATATCGAATCTGATGCAGTTATACATACAAAAATACTTGTGAAAACAAAGTATTCACAACAATAAAAAATTGTTACAAATGCCACGTGAAAACCTCTAAACTCTTTTGAATACTTTGGCGTATATGTATACAGCTCTATATGAAATGTTGCGCATATTCGTAAAATGTTAATATTTTAAAATTATTTGGTAATATAATAATTACTTTTCTTTGGAATTCATTATGAAGTCGTGTAAAATGTAATGATTTAGGATGTTGATGTTTTTAAATAAATAAATAAAATTAAAATTCGTACATTGAGTCATAACCATATTTAGCAATATGGTATCAAGGTAATTTGGAAAAAAATATTAAAATAATGCTATTTACTTTAGATACTTTTCACAGCATCATCAAATAATGATAAACAATATTTAGAAAATAATAATTTAAATATAAAATCATATTTTCAAATGTATTATTTTGTATTTATATGTAATTTTGTATTATATTCAAAATCCATATATGAAATAAATGTAATCATGAACGTACATTTGGAAATATACCTCTATTTTATCATATTATTTGTTAAAGATATATAAGACAATTTATTTGTTGTAAAAATCTGGTTCATATAGAAAGTATTAGTAAAACAATTTCAGTTTGGCTCAAATAGTTTTGATACCATTGAATAAGATTTCAAGATTTAGCTCTTGGGACGTATACCGTTTATAATATCTACTGGAAATTTTATTAATTAGTTTTCAAAGAAAATCAAAATCTTTTAATTAAAATCATAAACAGTAGGATAATGTTATCATCAAAAATTTTTAAGTCTCTATCCTAATTGATATGGTCAATAATTAGGGATGCTCATGCAACTTTAGACAGAATGCCCTTTACACCAGTGGTATATTTTTCACACCGATAATAAACATCAAACACTATAGACAATAGATACTAAATTGTAAATCAATTATTTTGTTTGAAAATTGGTCTTGAACTTTAAATATAATACAACTAGTGGTGTATGGCATAGTGCCTTAAGGCAAGTTCGAAGAATATTAAATGTTTTCAAATAGATTTTTATAAATATTGTAATATTGTCTAATATTTATAAGAATTATATAAACTGAATTGCAAAGTTGAAATTATTTGTTTTGAGTATATTAGAAATTCAGTCATTATTAAAATTAAAATCTGAATTATTTTCAATATACAAAAAAAATTTTTTTTGAAAAAAAAAAAAAAAAAAAAATTTGAAACAAAAAAAAATTTTTTCCAAAAAAATTAATTTTCAATTTTCGGCCCATTACTATAACTACCCCACAAGTTAATAAAATGAGCATTATAAAATGAATTTGAAGTTTACGAAATACATAGTAATTGCTGTTTGTGTTGATAGTTTGTATTAAGTTCAAAAATATATTACAAAATAATTTCAAAATATATCATATAATAGAATAAATATCATAAAATGACTTTCAACTTTATAAAATACATAGTAATTACTGTTTGTGTTCATAATTTTTATTAAGCTCAAGAATATATTACAATATGATTTTAAAAGGGTAATTACCATGTGTGCTAATAATCTTCTGTGACTTCAAGCACATATATCATTCTCTGATTAAATCACAGATAATCCAACGTCCATCAAAATCCAAAACAAAACCAAAAGTGCACTCAATATCCTAAACACTTCATAAAAACTGTTCACTGTCAATTATCTCTCTTATCTATAACGGTCACCGGTCCACGTGCAAATAAACTGGAACATCCGAACGTATTATTATATTCTGTTAAGATATGTGAAAAATGAAAAATGAATTGTGATATCACGACAAGATAAGGATTTGTTTTATTTACGTTGTGTGATGTTTGAGTTACAGCTATTAACTGATAGCAACTAATCAAACGAAATGATAAAAGCTGTAGCATGCGGCTAGGAGCGAAATCGCAACGAAATCGGTTTTGCGGCGGCGCGACTAACACTTTTGAACACGATTCAGCGAATTTAAATTGGAGCATTATGAAAGCTCAACGTGGGTTAACATTTCATATTTGAATAACTATTCCTGTCATTACGAAGAACAATTATAAGTAATATTAACGCAAAACCATTTTGAATTGAATACATTTTCATTAATTATTATATTTCATTGACTATTTAGAAGGCAAACTAAAGGATGTTCTATCTATATTTAACTTCCCGGAGAGAGAAGTTTATGTTCTCATCAAAAAATCCGATTCGTTAATATTATGTTTTCTCGACGTTTCAAGCCATTCTGAATCGAATGAGACTAAATTTAGAAAAAGTATGTGTGTGTGTGTGAACAGATTTTTTTTCGTAAATCGACGTTTACTCACGTTTCTCGTAAACGACTGGACCAATTTCAAGAATTTAAAAACCATTGTATCGATGAGGACTTGGGTTTATCAATTTTGCGCAACGATCAGCCAAGCGGTTTCCATGTAAATCCCAGAAAAGTGAAAAATTTTCGTCCACGTTTTAGCTCGCAATTCTGAATTGATTTTGAAAATTCAAAAACCATTCGAAATATATTGCTTGAGAATCGTGCTGCTTAGTTTTTGGTAGAGATCGGCCGGGCCGTTTTCTTGTAATAAAGTCTTAAAAAAAGTTTTCGACGATATTTATGTTTTTTTTTTGGCGGTAGATACCATAGTCTTATAGATCATACTAAAACATTACGGCCCTTCGAAAAGTCGTTTAATTTTAAAAATTCATCAAATTTTGCAAAATTTAGTATTATTTTTTTTTGCGTTTGTTTAAAAACGTCGGAACCGATTACATAAATTTAAAACCCAATCGATGTATTTCGATGTGGATTATCTTTTCTCACTTTTGTGCGATGAGCTTTGTAAATGGCAGAAAAGTGAAAATTTCTTTGTCCACATTTTAGCTCTCCATTCTGAATCGATTTTAAAAAATCAAAAACTGTTCGAAATATATTTGTTGAAAATGATACTGATTAGTTTTAGGTAAAAATCTACTTGCCTTAAGGCTAAATGCCATTTTCAGAAAAAGAAATTAGAATTCGTCTACTACGCATTATCGACCTTTTTTCCATGAGCACATTATGATCCTAACCGCATTTGCATTTTTATTCTAATGATCCCTTTTTAATAAAAAATTATGAAATTTAAATACTAGATAAAACTTACAAAACAAATAGAACATAATTATACTACTTTAATTTTTTTATATTAGTGTAATTTTCTTTTGATTGTGAGGATTGTGCTATAAAAAAATTTAAGATAATTTGATCCTGATATTGATGGTGTCAAAATTATTGGAACTGAAATTAAATTGTTTCACTGATACTTATTATAACAAGCAGATTTTTAAAAGGAATAAAGGAGTTTTTCGATTGACTTTTGATCGAAAAGAAAAAATACAGTAAATTGAAATCAGAGAGTATTGTGAATTATGATAATCATAAACGACATTATAATAATATGGTATTTAAATTTGATAATATAGATAAATTAAAAACAATTTGAAATTAAGCACTAGGATTATAATCCACACAGCACACGGGTCTTACAATGGTCACATCTTTTGGACCCATATACAACCCTCTAGGATAATATCGACCAAAAGTGGCGCCATTTATCGCCTGGTATTTTACGAAAAATGAACAGCAGGTTAAACCAATTTACACCCAGCAGGTCATTTACGTTTCAAAAAGCAAGCAAGTAATTCTATCTATACTTTATAGAAATCATTATTTTTAAAAAACTAAATTAACAGCAACAAAAGTATAAATTCAATGGGTTCTATCACAGAAGATATGTTTTGGTATAGTAATTCAATTTAAACAAATTGTAATTTTCACTTTACTAATATTACATATTTACACAAAATATTATCATTATCACACTATGTGAAATTTCCATCAGATTCATGTTTTTCTTAGTTCTTAAATTTATTAAATGTTATTAAATTTCAAATTACTGCCACAGAATTAATATTAACCTTAAGCACAGTAAAATTTTTGTTAAATTTTATAAAAGTTTAATTAATTGCTTTCGGCTTTTTCAACTAAAGAATAGAAATCATGTAAAAAGTTTATACAAGTATAAAATTCATATCAAATGAAATAAAAATGTAAAAATCTTTATAAAAGTTCAAGTATAAAAATGTAAAATTTTGATAAACGTTAAATTAATTGCTTTCATCTTTTTCAACTGGAGAATGGCAATCATGTAAAAAGTTATAACAAGTGCAGATTTCATATCAAATAAAATAAAAATCTTTGAAAATCTTCAAAAACAAACATAAAGTATTTGAAAAGCGCGCTCTTAAATTTTCAGTAGTACCAGAGTAGATTATTTTTACTATATCTTCTCCTGCGGTACTACCATTTCCAAATTTCTAATAAGACTTTTTGAAACGTCAAATTTATTCCTGTTTTCTGCAGTTTTATAAATAAATTTGAAAACAATCTAATAGTCCTTGGTTTGCAATGGTTAATCCGAAATATGCAGATTTACCAGGAATTGTAAGTTTATTGGCATTTTATAAAAGATATTTCTGGGCGTAACCTATTTTATGACAGAATTATAACAATTGTTTTGTTTTTAACAATTATTATATCAACAATTTCTAGGATAGGATATCCTAACATTGTTCATAAATAATTTAATCAATTTTGTTTAGTTACAAATGCGTACAGTTATAAAAATAATGTGCCTAAGGTGACTAATTTCTCACTCCTAAAGTTTTCATATTTATAGCAAATAATTCTTTAGAAAAGATTTACAAATAATAATCAAAATGAAAATAAGTCCCTATCAAAAAAGCCTTGGATGTGAATTTTCTGAAATGATGATTTATTTGTGATATTATTTCAATGTCTTTACCCCCCAGGCTTACGATCAACCTGATGTTTACGAAACAAGTGATTTACCAGAGGTAGACCAATCAGAAAACTTATATGATGAAGACCCAGAAAATGAATGCATTGAAAGGCTTCATATTTCAGCAAAAGATGCCTTTTCTAAATTCAGAGGAAAATATCTCACTGGTAATGTAGATTTTTCTGATCGGCTCAGTAAACGAATTAGAACTGGTTATGATGCAAGATCTGGGGAATGGGAACTTGCCGCAGAGGGAGAGAAGGAGACTCCTTTTCAAAAGTTTCATAGGCTGCAGTGTGAAACTCGTGAACTTTTTGAAGAGTTAACTGTTTTGCAGCAAAATGAAAAAGATGTGAATAAGGTAAATATTAAATTGGACAAAGAAAATGTTTCTAAAGACAATTGTGGGATTTTAATTCTCGCGTACTCATTATTTCTTGTACCAAATATTTCTTGAGTTTTTGTTTCATTTAAAAAATATTTTTTTATTACTTTCAAAGGGAACTTATGAAGACATGGTCGCCCACGTTGCAGCTTCTCAAAAATTAATTGAAAGTTTGCAGCTCCAAGAAGACACAAATCCAAAGCAGATAACTAATTTAAAGTAATTTAAATACAAAACATATTTACATAAGTTTCATTTTTATCCAAAGAATACATTTCAACTTATTCCTTTCAGCAAACTCAATGAACAGATTAAACAACTTCAACTAAATGAAGCAAACAAAACTCCTGAGACAAGTAGCAAGTCAAAAAAGGAAAGTACTTTGATGATTTCAACTAAAATTGCAGACTTAATGCAAAGGTAACATATTATTCATAATTCATACAGCACTCCCTGTTAAACATATTTCAAGCACTTATTTTTATCCATTAGATTACATGAACTAGAAAGTAAAGTGGGAGTAACACCAGAACGTTTATCGCGTTTGATGCTGGCAACCGGACGAAATACTTTAATGGAGGCTGCTCAAGTTCTGAGTTCACGAGTTTCAATGCTGCAATCTCCCCAATTAGACCAAATAGATATGAGATTAGGTTTTATTGGCTCAAAAATGGATTCTATAATAACTCAACAAGGAGGGGCTCAAGCTGCAGAAAAGGATCAGAAGGTAATAAAAATTATAATGAAACAAGATGAATTAATGATAAAAAAATAAAACTAGATAAAAAAATTGAAATACATTTTCCACTTAACTAAGAAAGTATCCAATAGTGTTTCTAGAAGGAATAAAATAAAAAAACTAACAATATTAAATGCAGAGAATTAAAATTCCAACATTTTCTGGGAGCACTTATCTTGTGGTTCTTTATCTAGTATAAATTTTATTTATCTAAATATTACTTTCAGATAATTGAGTTGTATGATCATATTAAAAAATCAGAAGACATTTATCAGTTAGTTCCAGATCTTTTAGAAAGAATGCAAGCTCTGACTGAATTGCACAAAGAAGGTAAAATAATTACAAATGCCAAACAAATAAAATTTGATTGAACAACTGATTTGCTAATGTAAAATTTCCTTTCAGCAAGTAACTTTACGAAGTCCCTAGCAGAACTAGAAACACTACAAAAAACTATTACAACAGGTGTGCAAAACAACAAAGCACTTCTACAAGGTGTTCAAGAAGTTTTTGCTTCGTCCTTACAAAATATAAATACAGAAATTGCAAAGTTGGATGAACGATTGAACAAGATTTCAAAAAAATAATTTTATAATAATCTGCCTGTTTTTAATACTATTACTATTTATTACTAAGACAATATTATTTTGCTTCACTTATTTATAAAACTTTGTTGTATGCATTATTGGTGCTTCATTATATCTAATTCGCTTTAATATATTTATAAATTAAATTTGTTAAGTAGTTTTGTTTATTACCTCTAATGTATGAGTGGAGTTACTTACAAGTGACATTATGTTGAGGATTGATGAGAACAAAAAGCACAAAAACACAAAAATTTTATAAACTGTTAGCTTCACAAGATCTAGCATAATACTAATTTTTTTCAGTACTACTTTACATTAAAGTAGAAAAGATATTTCAAGTAATTCTAGAGGGCAATACTAAACATTTCACTTCTTTAAAAATGAAGATTGGCAACAAATTCAAATTTGAAAAATAGTTATTCAGTATGCATTCAGGTTTGTATTTCATGTATACAAAAACTGTTGTTCTCCATTATTATTTGATAAATAGTCTATCAATATATTTCATTCTTACATGAGCTGTTTATTCATAGCTTTAGAGAAGGTTTCGGTTTAGAGAAGATAAACATAATTGATTTTAAAATCTCTTTTACAATACATATGGCTAATTTTTCTTTCATTTTTTGTCTGTACTTCTTGACTTCACTTACTTCTATTTTGAATGTAATAATTTCCATAATCTGATAGCTTTCTGTGGTACACAAAAACAAGAAGTAGGTTGTTCCATAGAAAAATAAACAAGTTCATTAAAAATTAACAAATATATCACAGTACGCTAAATCCAATTCATTTGACTCCCTTTCTAGAGGTTCACATTCAGAAGCAGAGCACATAAGTTGGGAAATAAAAATTAATAAACAATTTCAAACTTCATAATCCTTTGCAAAATTAATTCATCTGTATTTCCACTTCTAATTCTAAGTGATTTTCTTGAATCAACTATAAGATTATTGAAGTGTTTTATTCAAATTTTGAAAAAGTGATTGAAGATAATCAGTCGTTAAGCATTAAAGAATCATTTCTATTTCCATGGACAATAGTAAGCTATGTGCTATAGTATCATATGAAGTGCATTTTGTAATAGTTTAATTGAATTACTGTAATTCTGTAAGTTAATTTATTTTTACTCCAGTAAGAATAAAGTTTGGACACACATTTTAATTAGCATGTACATTATTATGTCCATTAATGTGTTCAAAAACATGAGCAGGCAAATCGTTTCAAGTTAACTACTCAATTAAAATTTAGTATTAAACCACAACACTCCTGCAAGTTTTGGAATTAAAAAATGGATACAGAGGAAAATTTGATTAATACAGCCACATTTAAGTTTATAACATTTTATTATGAACTTTTGTAAATTAAATCTAGAACCTCAACTTTTGGAAAAACCATTTGTTTTTTCCACTCTTGTAACGTTCCTCGAATTTAACACGGGTTTGGAAACGAGCCTTCTTCCTCTTCATGGGGTCCTTCAAATCCTTGACGGTTGGTTTGTGCTCTAATGATAGGTCAACGGTGTACCTAGTTGGCATCAAGTGGTTGTAGTTTAAAACCTGCAGAAATTCATTAATCATTTCAACAGTGCTCAATTGGAACTTAATCCGAGTCATGCCAGTAAATGACAATGTAAAAGTTTCTATTTGATTTTAATGATAAAAATCAGCAGGCTTTACTGAGAACAGGAATCCATAAAACTACTCCTAGTCCACTTTAAAGAATCAAGTTTATCCAAAGCTAGCAAATTTTATAGTGTCACAAATTGAGGTTATCAAAGTTATTGAACCATTTAGATGCTTAGAAATAATTAGTTAAAAAGAAGTCCCATTCAAAACATGAAGCAGAATCTATTACTTCAATATCCATACCCGCCTTATCCATTTATTTATGTAAATAAATTATGTAATGCAAAGAAATCTTCCAAGCCGCTTCACAATTACAAAAGTATAAAACAATGCACAAAATAACAGACAATTGCCCAGCAATTCTTTTCAGCACTATAAAACTTTGTAAATCATCATCCATAATGCAAATATACAAAATATCTTCAAATTAAATTTTATCCGCAACTTGATAAAATGATCTATATTTATGTTTAAAAGAGTATAATAACATACAAACAATTTGATTATATTCTGTCTACGGGTTGTTATACTTTGAGTCTAGTGCGTTTTCTTGGGAAACAATGATCTCATTAAATAATTTTATCATGTAAGTACTCCTAATTAATTAACAGCATAAACAATTTATGAAATATAGTAATATCGCATAAGATAGGTATATAAAAATTAATAACCTTATTGTAAACTATGTACAAAGAAATTCAGCACAGCGTGAAGCTTAAGCAAACGGGTTGTTATAGTTTACATCAAGTCAAATGAAATGTATATTATTTACTAACCTTAATGAAAGGCTTTATCTTTGATCGCTTGTGGAGCTTAGCCTTGCCCATTCTCTTGTGTACTTTCCTTGGGTACCTATCAATACCAGCTACAAGTGCGTGGCCGTATTGTTTTTCTGAGGTACCATCATCAAAGTTTTGGATGACGATGGCTTTGCGACCAGCATAGCGCCCGCTCAATACGAGCACCACTTTACCAGATTTCATAATCTTCCCCATTTTGATCTAAAAACAAAGCACGAAAACTTTAGTTTACTTTGATACCGTAGAACTGAAAAGTTAACATCTATAACCTAAAATATGACATGCCAAGATGAAATTGTTATCGAACACTCTTACCTAAAGATTTTGATTTATATAATATTTATATGTAACTACACGAGAATTTAGAAAAGGCTACGCAAACCTAGATGGTATATGAAATATATAACTATCAGTTGCCAAATAATAATTTGCACAGATAATAAACAAAATAGGTTTCAAAAAGAATAAGGACAATATAAATATTATCACAATTTTGAACACAATTCGTCACTCACGTCGATATTATTTATTTTAGATTATATGTTTTTAGAATTCAGTTTATTGAGGAAAAATATGTACTCACATCTAAAACGTCCTACCGGAAAAGAAACTATTTATTTCCCCTCACAGCGACATAGAAAATCTATGTCAAGAGTAGAAACTACGCGAAGGACTGAATTAGGCATAGAACATCAAAACCATTTTTTTCTTCTGCATGTTGGCAATGCGTTTGATACTTGAGCATGGATCAGAGTGCTGTCATTTTGACAGTTGTTTGACTTAAGCTTAAAAGATGAAGTTAGACAAGTTAGTTCTAATTCATAATTCTTAGAATTGTAATTCTTATCGCCAGAAAGATTACAGTATAAGCTTTAATATTTGTTATGTGTAAATAAAATTATATCAATATAGAAAATAGTTTATATTAAATAATCAAAATGGAAACAGCATTGAATCAATGAACAATGGTGCGATAACTATCAAATTACATGCTTTCAATTCATAAATTGATGATTAAACATCTATTGTTTATATTTAGATTTACAAACAAAAATTACATCACTTGCTGCAAGAATCACATTACTAGAAACTGAAAAAATACAAGAGAGAAATTCATTTGATGGGCAAAGAGCAAAAATGAAAGATTTATTTCTACAGAAAGAAGGTAAACAAAACAGAAGGTTGTAAACTAATAATTTAGTATATTTTAATTTTTCATCAGTTTTAATTTAGTTGCAAATTTTATGGTTGATTTCAATGGCTTTCAAGTTGCCATACCTAATTACAAATATATGAATTGAAAATACAAGTGTAATCGAATCGGTCTAATGTTTATATAATTGTAATAAATCTAATTTTTCATAAAAAATTGTAATAATTGTTAAAAAGTCAATTTGATTTTTGCAGTATTCATATTCTGATTCTGAGCCAAATCTTATATTTAATTTTTGATAAACACAATTCAATCATTAATTTGTATATCTTTATGGTTTACATTTCTATAGATTATGAATACGAGTTCAAATTCTGATATCATTAAAACATAAGCTAATATAAAGCACTAAGATTATAAAAACATTATTTTCATATTAAATGAGTAGTTAATTTCTTGTAGATCATTATATTTGCTTTTATTGATTTAAAATACTACAAAAAATAATGTGTAAGAATGAGTTAGTTATATTATTCAACTTTTAATATTTCAGGTGAAGTAATGCAATTGAAAAAAGAAAATTCTACATTATTATCTGAATTACAAAAATTAACACAAGAATTGGACGAGGCTAAAAGCCAATTAGTTGCAACAGGTTATCAAATGGAAACGGATTTAAAAGAACAACAATCTAAAGCTCAGGAAGAAATCGCTACATTACAGCAGCTTGTTCATGGTATATATTTAATTTCTTTCATAAATGATAAGTAGTTAATTAATAATTTTTCTATCATTTCCAATTTAGAAATTTTCATATAACCTTTTTATAGCTCACAGTAATAGAATTATGCTATACAACATTACATATACTTTGAATTTGTTAGTCAGACAATAAAAGATATTATTAACAATTATGATGCAATTTATATTTTGTAGAGACAATTGAAGAAAATAGCAGTTCTAGGTCATTATTTGATAGTGAAATTTCTCGATTAATGGCTGTAGTTGAAAAACTACAAACTGAGAACAAACAACTTCGAGCAAAAGAACAAGTAAGTTTTAAATAATTTATTTTATATTTTTCAATGTTTATGCATGTGATCTGTACAGATTACACACAATTGAAATAATTACATTTCTTATGTAATAGGAAAGTGCAAGTTTAGCTCCGGCTGTCGTTTTGTCAGCAATGACTAAAACATTAGCAAGAAAACTTGGTGCAGATTCTATAGATAGCAATGATGAAACAAAAAAAGGCATAAGACATGTAAGTTTTCACACATTATTGTATAATAAAGCACATGTTTCACCAAGGTTAATATAAAATCATTAATTTAGGCTCAAGAAGATGCTGAAGTACTGCGCTCATTAGTGGTTCCTTTAGAAGAAGAAATTAAAGCTTTAAAACAAAAATTGAGATCAGCAGATGAACAATTACAAATGTACAATCAAGAAAAAAGTAGTAATA